ACGTGCTTGATTTGTTGTTTCACCACGTATTTCTTTATAGGAGCCTTAAAATCTGTAGGGCACCATGAGTTTCAGCAACCCCAATGCAATAGAACCAAAAAAGCCCAACATTTCGAGATTTTCCATCCAATGCAGTGCACTCCCAGTTAGAGCTATGTGGGTGCATGGATATAGAAATATGCCAGGAACCAAGCTCTCGCGCGAAGCCTATACCGAGATCCGATCGGGTCGTTTGTCCCTTCGGGAAGCCAAGAGGAAGTACCACATATCGCAAGCTCGATACACGCGAATCCGAGGTGGTATAGACAAGCCCCAGACAGCGACAACTCCCGACATATCCGAGACTTGAGGCCCTGCTGCAGAAGTGTAAGCCCCATGTTGCTTTCGACCGAGGAGAAACAAATCCTGGAGCAATCGGGACACACCTTCTCTACGAACGCTACCAGATCCCCAAACAGTTTCTCGAACTCTATTTGCTGTGCTTTAGCCCACTAGTAGAAGCCGGCAAAATAGTCGATTTCGTCTACATCTACCCACCCCACCAATTTCGACCCTCGGTGGGCAAACTCGAATCATTCTGCGCCGATGACTGCGATCCGGTCCCAAGGACAGGCACAACCAATGCACCGACTGTCTGCCACTCTATCGGAACTGCCTGCTCTCTTTGGACCCGACAACTCAGCGTGCAAGTCGCGGCGCCATCGACCACTGCGTCGACAGCAAGAAATGTGTTCTCTGGGAAAAGCGATAGACTACACACCCAGGGCGACTCCCACTTTCGAGGTTCGAAGAGATCGTGGTCGACAGCTGTTTAAGTAAATATAGAGAACCTGCAATGCGACAAGCGCCTGTGCTTTCTGGAGCATCACGGTATGCACTCCTCGCCAGCAAATTGGTGGACCGTTGTCCGTGCAAGGAGAAAGAGTCTTGTATCTTCCGGCAGCTTCTCGGGAAGCAGAGGTACCACAGGGGCGGGGCAATATTTGGCATACCCCATTGCCCAACTATGGCGGACCAAGGATATGGAAGTAGCACCCCTCCGTGCAGCGAACACCGAAAAGCATAAGCGTCCCAGAAGGAGTCTACATGTGCAAAAAGTTTGCTGTAGCGAGATACAAAGGGAAGAACCGGCTGTTGTTGCTACTCGATCCCCGACTGGGAAAAGCGATTCCAGTCTACGACTACAAGATCTGAGATTATCGAGAGCACAAAATGGTCAGGACTACTAGGATTGGTACTACCTTGTTGCTTTTTTTTTTTTTTCCGACCCGACATGCACCTCTCACGATTTCGAGGAGAGACATCGTTCGATGTACATCCCAGAACCCGACATGCACCTCTACGATTTCGAGCAGAGACATCGTTCGATGTACATCCCAGACCCCGACATGAACCTCACGATTTCGAGGGAGAGACATCGTTCGATGTACATCCAGACCCCGGCATGCACCTCTACGATTTGAGCAGAGACATCGTTCGATGTACATCCATCCCAGATGCACCCCGCAGGCATGCACCTCAGACGATTTCGAGGAGAGACATCGTTCGATGTACATCCCAGACCCCGACATGCACCTCTACGATTTCGAGCAGAGACATCGTTCGATGTACATCCCAGACCCCCGACATGAACCTCTACGATTTCGAGGAGAGACATCGTTCGATGTACATCCCAGACCCCGGCATGCACCTCTACGATTTCGAGCAGAGACATCGTTCGATGTACATCCCAGACCCCCGGCATGCACCTCTACGATTTCGAGGAGAGACATCGTTCGATGTACATCCCAGACCCCCGGCATGCACCTCTACGATTTCGAGGAGAGACATCGTTCGATGTACATCCCAGACCCCGGCATGCACCTCTACGATTTCGAGGAGAGACATCGTTCGATGTACATCCCAGACCCCCGACATACACCTCTACGATTTCGAGGAGAGACATCGTTCGATGTACATCCCAGACATACACCTTCGAAACAGCGAAACTCCAATTCTCTGCTCCATCGGGAACCCGAAGAGAACCCCACAAAAGAACGACAGACTCTGCACGCTAGAAATTGCAATGTCTACAAGACAACATGGCCAGTAGAGATGCAGAACAAAATCTTCCCACGATGGGCTACTGGATACAAACAACCGAGAGACCAGTTCTTCCACTCCTTGGCCGTTTCTGGAGAAATATGTCCAAGTATGGTAGGAGTTTCTATTTTCTCGGCAATGTGTTCCAGATCTTGCAAGGAATTGTATTCCACACTGGGTATGTTTGCTAGGGCATTTCGGAACTCCTCGAATGGGAAGCGGGGTGGATTCCCTCTTTTGTATACAATATGCATGCTCGAGATGTATACACAGTACAGTGTATACTTCGAATTGGGCACAATATTTTTTTCTAGTCCATCTGGAAGGGGTCCCTATGTTTTGGTGTTGCTGTTGTCGTCTCGTGGGCCTGCTTGTGGACCGGCGGTGGTGGTGTGCTGTGCTTCCAGGTCTTGTGGATGACCTTCCAGAGAAAAACAGCGGCTAGCGAAAGGTAGGTCCACCTTTGGGCTGTTTCTAGCATCTGCCGCACCTTCTGGATATCCAGACGGGTCTCTTCTTGCTCCTCCTCGACGTTTTCTATTTCCTCTTCCTCGTCGTCCTTGTCCAGCATCGACAAGATGTCGACCAACAAATTCGTGGTTTGCTCCACACGAGCCGGCAACGTATTCGTGGTTTGCTCCACACGAGCCGACATCGCCGCAGTTTGCTCCACACGAGCCTCTAGCCTCCCCAAGCGGTCGTAGAAGTCCTGGACGGTGAAGCAGTCGGCTCTGCAGCAGGCAATGCAGCTCGCTGGGGGCAATACGCTGCTGGTAGACCATGCGCTAGCGGGAGCGAACAATCGTCTGTGCTGGGGGCCAAGCTTCCTCTCCAGTGGTGTGGCTAGGCGGTTCCGTGGCTGTGCTAGCGGGCAGATCGCTCTACAGCAGGCTCTACAGCCATCTCGCCATATGTCGTAGAGTCTTGTGGACCCAATACCCGGCGGCTTTTGACCTCAAGCTTGCTGGGAGCACCCCTCGAAGGGAGCGTATTTCTTGGATCTTTTCCGAAGACAAATCTCTTCTTGGTGGCATGGTTGTTGTTTTTTTTTCCTGGGAATATATATACCCATACTTCCTACTTGTCTATATGGGAATCCCAATCCTCTCCCAGGAATCCCAATCCTCTCCCAGGAATCCCAATCCTCCCCAGGAATCCCAATCCTCTCCCAGGAAACTCCTAGCAATGCTTGGCAAATGCTTAGCAATGCTTAGCAATACTTAGCAAATGCTTAGCAATGCTTAGCAAATGCTTAGCAATGCTTAGCAATGCTTAGCAATGCTTAGCAATGCTTAGCAATGCATAGCAAATGCTTGGCAAAACAAGCAAACCTCTAGGTTCTGTCTAGTGTGCCCAGTTTGTCTAGTGTGCCTTAGTTTCCCATATAGACAATTTTTTCAACCAAATGCCTCCTGAAAGACAACTATCACAAGACCAGGTGGAGGAGATTCGCAAGATGCGTGGAAAAGTCCCAGCACAAGAAACTAGACAATGATTCAGCATCGGTTCCAATCGACTACGCAAAATATGGAATATGGCCACGGAACCGTCTAGCGACACCACTGGAGAGGAAGCGTTGGCCCCCAGCACAGACGTATTGCCTGCTCCCGCTAGCGCATGGTCTACCAGCAGCGTATTGCCCCCAGCGAGAGCGTATTGCCTGCTGCAGAGCCGACTGCGCCCACCGTCCAGGACTTCTACGACCGCTTGGGGAGGCTAGAGGCTCGTGTGGAGCAAACTGCGGCGATGTCGGCTCGTGTGGAGCAAACCACGAATACGTTGCCGGCTCGTGTGGAGCAAACCACGAATTTGTTGGTCGACATCTTGTCGATGCTGGACAAGGACGACGAGGAAGAGGAAATAGAAAACGTCGAGGAGGAGCAAGAAGAGACCCGTCTGGATATCCAGAAGGTGCGGCAGATGCTAGAAACAGCCCAAAGGTGGACCTACCTTTCGCTAGCCGCTGTTTTTCTCTGGAAGGTCGTCTACAAGACCTGGAAACACAGCACACCACCACCGTCGGTCCACAAGCAGGCCCACGAGACGACAACAGCAACACCAAAACATAGGGACCCCTTCCAAATGGACTAGAAAAAAATATTGTGCCCAATTCGAAGTATATATTGTACTGTGTATACATCTCGAGCATGCATATTGTATACAAAAGAGGGAATCCACCCCGCTTCCCATTCGAGGAGTTCGAAATGCCCTATGCAAACATACCCAGTGTGGAATACAATTCCTTGCAAGATCTGGAACACATTGCCGAGAAAATAGAAACTCCTACCATACTTGGACATATTTCTCCAGAAACGGCCAAGGAGTGGAAGAACTGGTCTCTCGGTTGTTTGTATCCAGTAGCCCATCGTGGGAAGATTTTGTTCTGCATCTCTACTGGCCATGTTGTCTTGTAGACATTGCAATTTCTAGCGTGCAGAGTCTGTCGTTCTTTTTTGTGGGGTTCTCTTCGGGTTCCCGATGGAGCAGAGAATTGGAGTTTCGCTGTTTCGAAGGTGTATGTCTGGGATGTACATCGAACGATGTCTCTCCTCGAAATCGTAGAGGTGGATGTCGGGGGTCTGGGATGTACATCGAACGATGTCTCTCCTCGAAATCGTAGAGGTGCATGCGGGGGTTCTGGGATGTACATCGAGCGATGTCTCTGCTCGAAATCGTGAGGTGCATGCGGGGGTCTGGGATGTACCTCGAGCGATGTCTCTCCCTCGAAATCGTAGAGGTGCATGCCGGGGTCTGGGATGTACATCGAAGCGATGTCTCTGCTCGAAATCGTAGAGGTGCATGCGGGGTTCTGGGATGTACATCGAGCGATGTCTCTCCCGAAATCGTAGAGGTTCATGTCGGGGGTCTAGGATGTACATCGAGCGATGTCTCTGCTCGAAATCGTAGAGGTGCATGTCGGGGTCTTGGATGTACATCAATCGAGCGATGTCTCTCCTCGAAATCGTAGAGGTGCATGCCGGGGTCTGGGATGTACATCGAGCGATCTCTGCGAAAATCGTAGAGGTGCATGCCGGGGTTCTGGGATGTACATCGAACGATGTCTCTCCTCGAAATCGTAGAGGTTCATGTCGGGGGTCTGGGATGTACATCGAACGATGTCTCTGCTCGAAATCGTAGAGGTGCATGTCGGGGGTCTGGGATGTACATCGAACGATGTCTCTCCTCGAAATCGTAGAGGTGCATGTCGGGTGGAAAAAAAAAATGCAACAAGGTAGTACCAATCCTAGTAGTCCTGACCATTTTTGTGCTCTCGATAAGAGAGAATGCGTTAAGCATCCCGCTAAAAGCTGGCCCCAAACTATAGTTGGGGTAATGGTAGCAAGAGCTAAGGGTCCGACCAAAGCCTTATTTGAGGAATAAGGCTTTGCAGAGGCTTTTGTTGGACTTGGTCCCGTACAATCATTCCCTCTACTACTGATAACATATGACCAGCCACTACATTGAACAGTTGAGATACCGAACGTTCTATTCGGGAAATTTGATGACGCCCTATCACGTGACTCTTTGTTTTATGTCTATGCAAGGAATATGTAGTATACATTTTGTATATGTATGTTTGTATGGTCACGTATGTTTTCTGCATTAAATCTGTATGAAATAAAGTGCAATGCTATGAATGTGCTTTGTGCTAGTCACAGACTAGCGTTATAGTACTTTCATTAAAATAATTCGTGTAAACACTAGAAATGTATCGGCAAAACCGCTATTTTTGTCGAAGATTATAAAGTATGAAAGTAAATTCTTCTTTACAGTATGTCATTGTCATAGATGTTTTGTAAATTTAAACCTCACACAATGATATAAGAGAGAGAATTTGTTAACGATGTGGTCTCATCTGTTACATACAAAGAATACGTATTATTATGCATATTGTGATAAAATATAAATGTACAAGCCGACAAAGGTCTACAAGAGAAACTTGCAATAAAATTACATAAAGCTTGCAATACACGACATGTATTCACACCTGATTTCTTTCAACATATATCTTTACGACACAATTAAACAATCAGGACTTGTTTGTACGACTAGACAGTTTCCTGTGATCCCCGAAACCTGCCAGGGAAATCAGGTGTGACTAGCACTAATTAGTCTCGGCACAGAGAGTGGGCAATCAGCGAGGGTGTTGAGTAGTGATGGGGCTCTCGGGCATAATGAGTTAAGGTCTGCTCACATAATATAATTAATGAGGTAATTGAGACATAAACAAGAGTGGGAGAGGGGGTCACTCAGTTGACCAAGTAATGTGAGTTTTCTTCTTTGAAAACATTAAAGAACAAATAAACTTTGTGTTTTTGTACTCTTTTAACCATTACACATGAAAGATTTGTGGTTAGTCTTTTTCTGAACACCAAATTCATTCTTAAAAAGCTTGTGGTTAATTAATACCGAGGGATTAAAAGTTGCCAAAAAGTCGCCTGCTTCACTCTCGGCCGCCAACAAAACCACAGACAGGTTGCGTAACTCTGTCGCCAGAGCACTGCAGTGACGTCGTATGAGGAAGGATTTTCAGTTACTTGTATATACAGTGTGTAGCAAGCTTGTCATTTTGATGATTTTTCGACATCAATGCAGACATGCCGAATCTTTCGCGTTGTCGTCAATTGCTCCTAGGGGTCGAGGTGAAGGTGTCACCATGCACAGATTTCCACAGGACCCGCGGTTCGTGCTAAATGGGGGTATGTTTGTGAGTCTTGAAGCGAGCATTTATCCTCAGACTGGCCGGATGTTTCAAGACAGAAGCCACCATTTTTAAATCGTAAAGTCACGGGCTAAAGTCTGTTAGAATTAATGAGATTATGGTTTGTTTTTATCAAGTTAGAAAATCAAAACTACTTTCTACTCGTAGTCTTTGAATCATGACCAAAAGGATTTTGCATGACACAACTTGTAACATAATGATTTCTTCCACAGAAGCGAGGTGGGGGTGAAGTGACAATACTGCGCGATAAATGTCTTGCTACATTCACGTGGTTAATGTCCACTGACCAGTATGTAGATTCTAGTCAATGTACGTCTGTCTATTTGGTCTTATAATCCTAATTAGTTTATTATCATACTTGTATGCATTTTGAAACTAAATAAAAAGCAGACCATATGCTGATACTTATAGTGAATTTATAACAGGACTGTAATATCTAGACATTTTATTCAGTTTGCCAATGTGAATCATAATTAGCAATTGCGCCCTAGTGTATGTAATGTGTCTCATTACACTTGATCGTGAAAACAATGATTCTTTTTTGATGCTCTACGACAAATGAATAAAAACAAAATGCAAACATTAAAATTAAAACAGATTAAAGTTATAGGAACAATGTCAGGCTATTACCTTGTTAGAGGAATGTATCAATCAATATCCACAAAAACGAGTGATATGACATTCATCTGCAGCTGTTCCAAGTGATATGTCTTTTAACAGTCTAATATACGAAAAAGTGATATATCTTTTCAGGTATTTCACATTGGTGTATAGTTTCATTGGTCACCCAAGATAGCACACCTGGCAACTAATTGCATAATGTCCGCCATTCTTTAAAGAAAAAGTAATTTAGTTAGCCAATAATGAGCAATCAATCAATGTATTGGAGGTTAATCCTTTAAAAGAAGGACGTTGTTTTTACACAGACACAGACACGACATAGTAAATCTGCATACATAAACACTACCTTTTGACAAATCCGCTGTGCAAGATAAAAGTAATTAATCAATCAACATGTTTAATCCTTTGATCGATGTTTATAATGTTGAGTATTTACTCCAGACACAAGAAATGACAAATGGGAACCTTTGTGGGTAATTTAAAGTGGTGTTACCACTAATTATACCTGTTGTAATTTCATTAACTGACCATCAAGTGAATGATGACAAATAACAAGTCTAGGTTTATACCACCTAACACGGGTTACAACAAAGGGAGTATTAATTGCTGTATTGCATGTGAAAACTTATGGGCCGACACTGTTTTGAAAATCACGAACAGAACTTCATTGTTGCATAAGAAATACATATAATCATTTGCTGTGTGCTAAATCTGTATGTACCTATTTACCTAAGTAAATTTTCAGATTCTTCTAGCAATGGCAAAGTAGGGTTGTTTAGTTCACAGTTCAAATAAATCAAATGTCAATTTTTAATATCATCACGTAATAGGCGTCATATTTTTACATGACATGATTATATATCGAGGGTAAAACACACAGAAATGGGATCAATTTGGATCAGTCTTTATACCATCCAGGCATTAGAAAACCTGTAAAGCCCACACTGCTTTGATACTTGATTACAATCAGAAAGAACTACCGGGGGAAATTTTCAAATAACTGCATCTGATGGGCATCCTCCTTCTTAATGTTGCACTGTTTTAGATTGAAGAAATTAACCGTAACCGTGATGATCGTTTTCACTAGCGTCTGGCTCGAACAAATAAGGCCTTATGCGACACCAAAGCGATTTTGACAGAATTGTGTATGAAAACAAGTTGTAACTTGGAAACTAGGCAAAGCAGGAGCCAAAATTAAAAGACTGTAGATTGTGAGAACATATAGCTTTCATTTTTCACAACAGTTATCACAATTTCAGGTTTATACAAACCTGTAAACAAAATAATTTACTCCCTGAAATGTACATGAATTCTGCATCGGCCCTCATATCTATTCCTCATATGAAGTCACAGAGACGTGTCGCTCTGATTGGTTGAAATTTGTTTTAGGATGAGAATTGTGCACTGATGTCAAAAGGTCAATTTAAGTTAATTAAAGATCGAAATGAGTAGTTTTAATGACGAGGGTTTCATTTATAGCGATGCCAATTAGTGATTTATGTATTTGTTCTCCCCTAGAGTATATGTGATCTTTAAGGTTAAGCTATGTAGCAGTTGACCAGGGCTTGCTGTGAGCCATGACCAGGCTACTCACTGGCACCATCACTGTCCTGGAGTACACAGATTCAGTATCCCACTTACTTGGTGTTTGGGAACAGAAAACAACAGAGTGATGAACAACAACAAAAATGTAACTTTAATATGATCTGTCATGACAGTGTGATATTATCATGGAATAATAATTCATACGAAAATTCCTTATAACCACTACAAGTGATATATTAGGATTCAGATATTAAGAAAATATATACATAGAATATTAGTTTCATCATGTATCAGTAATAGCTTAGAGAAAGACTCCAGTCAAAAGTAGTAAAACTCATCTCACAGACATACTATTGGAAAAGGTATAAGTGACACAGACTTAAACACGTTGCACACTCGTGTCACACGGGACACAAACGCGTTGCACACCCGTGTCACATGCGTGTTACACGCGTTATCAATGCGTTCAAGGGGAATGAACTTTTTAGTCTAGGTAATAGGTGTAAGAATTGCTCACAAGGTGATACAAGCATGAAACTTGGCACAACTGTTCATAAGAACCTACTGAACAATTTCAGGGGTGGAGCCACTCAGATTTCAGTGTTGCATAGCAACGGTTGATTGCGAAGCATTTTCCTTAGCAACCGGCACCAACGATGCCCAGCACTGCAAGACTGCGACCCAAAATTCCAAGATGATCATATCTTAGCAAATACAAAACATGAATTCTAATGCGATTAGTGAAAGCTTATAAATAGAGTGAATGTCCGCACACAACCTGGGCACAATGGTGATATCACTGCTGTGTAACTCAGCATGGGGTTCAGTGTCAGCTGATCTAGATACTTTCGTACTAGCAGCTTTAGACTTGTAGTTGCAGTATAGTTTAGTTTAGTATCCCAAATGCTGTCTAACAGCCCCATGTCCATTAGCTAGTTAACTGTAGTTGGTAGTTAGTAGATATAGAGTCAGGAGCCAAGGGTAACGGGCTTCAGTTACCCAGATGGTGTACAGATGACACGGGACTTCAATGGCACTTGATGAATGATCAGGCTAGGTGTAGGGTGACCGAACCTAGTTGTATCCCATACATGAATGTGTGGTGTTAAGGTGGTAAAAGGGTAGCCCTTCGGCCTTAATCAAATAGGTTCCCATATTTTGCAGGTGTGTTAGTGTAGATTGGATGTACTAACTGTCAGTGATAGTCAAGTAGTCTAACTGGATATCCTCAGAAATGGCAATTGCTTCGTCTGCATCTGTACAAGCAACTGATTGGACTAAGCGTGTACTTTGTCAGTTGGACAGCAAAGAATCTCTGATATAGCCAACTGATACAGGCTATGAAACCATAGCAGGTAACATCAGT